AAATTTCTCTTTAAAATAGAGATTTAAGAGGGTTTAGTTCATTAATTTTGGTGGAATATAAATTTTTATTAAATTACTCATTTAAATATTAGAAATGTTGCCCATATACCATGAAAATAAGTTTAACAAACATTAGTATAAATTTATAATGTGATTAGATAATTTTAAAAAACAAGAAAGATCCTAACCCTATGTATAAAACATTTTCAGAAAAACTCGATATTTTTGTAGGGGTTAACCCACAGATTTTCAAAAAAATGAGAAAATATAATATTTTTATCTTAATGCGTAGATGCATCCAACACATATATAGGATGAATATCAAATATTTATGACATCTTTTTGTCCCAATTTCTCTTGTTTATAGAGATTTCATAGTGTTTAGCTCTTGGTTTAGGGTGGTACATTAAGGTTTATTAAATTACTCGTTAAATAATTATGACTGATGTCCATGTGCCATAAAAATAATTTTAGCATACATTAGTATAAATTTTTAATGTGATTAGATATTTTTTAAAAACATTAAAGACGTTAGACTTAAGTACAAATAACATTATTCAGAAAATCGATCTTTTCGTAGGGGTTAACCCACATTTTTCAAAATAAACTAGAAAATATGAATTTTTTTATTTATGCATAGCTACATCCATAAATGATAAATGATGAATGTAACAGAGTTTTGATACCTTAGTTGTCCACATTTCTTTTGAAAATGGAGAGATTTAAGAAGGTTTAGTTCATTGATTTTGGTGGAATATAAATTTTTATTAAATTATTCATTTAAATATTAGAAACGATGTGAAAGTAAGTCTAACATACATTAATATAAATGTATAATTTGATTGGTTATTTTTAAAAAACAAGAAAGAGCCTAACCTTATGTATAAAACATTATTCAGAAAAACTCGATATTTTGTAGGGAGTCCACGATCTCGAAAAAATTGGTGGATTTTGACTTATCCTCAGGAGTCTACGAAACATTTTTAAAATGATTGTTAAGCTTTTTCAACACTAAAACTTGGTTAATGGGTTTTAAATAAGTATGCTAGCCAGGAATACATGTTTTACAATTTTCAAAAATTCATAGGGGTTTGCCCACGATCTCGGAAAATTTGGTGGATTTTGACGTTACTTTCAGAAGATGGAACAATTTTAAAATGTATGTTAAGCAATTTAAACACTATAGTGTGGTTAATGGGTTTTTAAATAAGTATACTAGTCAGGAATATATTTTTTGAAATTTTCAAAAACTCATGGAGGTTAGCCCACGATCTCCAAAATTTTGGCAGATTTTGACGTTATCCTCAGAGACAACGAAACAATTTCAAAACGATTGTAAGCAGTTTTAACACTATAAATTGGTTAATGTGTCTTATATAATTAAATTAGCAAGGAATTTATGCTTTTAAATTTTCAAAAATTCATAGGGTTATTTTGAGGATTTTGATGTTATTTTCAGGAGATAACGAAATATTTTCAAAACGATTGTTAAGCAATTTGAATACTATAGTGGTTAATGGGTCTTTAAATAAATATACTAGACAGGTATATATATATATATATATATATATTTAAATTTTCTAAAAAATCATTGGGAAATATTTGGTGGATTTTGACGTTATCCTCAGAAGACTCCGAAACATTTTTAAAACGTTTGTTAAGCAATTTTAACACCATAATTTGGTTAAAGTTTCTTTAAATAAGCATACTAGCAAGGAATACATGTTTTGTAATTATCAAAAATTCATAGGGGTTAGCCCCAGATCTCAAAATTTTGGTGAATTTCGACGTTATCCTAACGAGATAGACAAAAAAATTCAAAATGATTGTTAGTTTCAACACTAAAATTTAGTTAATGGATCTTTAAATAAGTATACTAGCAAGGAATACATGTTTTGAAATTTTCAAAAATTCATAAAGGTTTGCCCACGACCTCAAAAAAATTGATGAATTTTGAGGTTATCTTTAGGAGACAACGAAACATTTTCAAAACAATTGTTATATAGTTTCATCACTATAAATTGGTTAAAGAGTCTTTAAATAAGTATAATAGTAAGGAATACAAGTTTTAAAAAGTTTCAAAAAGTCATAGGGGTTTGCCCACAATCTCAAAAAATTTGGTGGATTTTGACGTTATCTTCAGGAGACAACGAAACATTTTTAAAACGCTTGTTAAGAAATTTCAATACTAAAAATTAGTTCATGGATCTTTAAATAAGTATACTAACAAAAAGATACATGTTTTGAAATTTTCAAAAAACATAGGGGTTAGTTAGCCCACGTCCTCGAAAAATTTGGTGAGTTTTAACTTTATCCTCAAGAGACGAAGAAGAATTTTCAAAACGATTATTAAACAGTTTCAACGCTATAATGTGGTTAATGAGTCTATAAATAAATATGTCATCAAGAAATAAATGTTTTGAAATTTTCAAAATTCATAGGGATTAGCCCACGATCTCAAAAAAACTAGGTGGATTTTGACGTTATGCTTAGAAGGCAGACAAAACTTTTTCGAAATGATTGTTAAGTAGTTTTAATACTAAAATTTGATTAATGGATCTTTAAATAAGTATATTAGCAATGAATACATGTTTTAAAAAATTTTAAACTTCATAGAGGTGTTAGTCCATGACCTCGAAAAATGTGGTGAATTTTTATGTTATCTTCAGGAGACAACGAAATATTTTTGAAACGATTGTTAAACAATTTCAACACTATAATTTAATTAGTGGATCTTGAAATAAGTATATTAGCTAGGAATATGTTTTAAAATCTTTATAAAATTCATTGGTTTATTATTGTTCGAGTGACTAAAGCCTTTTACCTTGAAAGACCTACCTAGAGAAAGAGTTTCTGACTCGTCTTCGCTGATGACGTGTCCCTTCTTTTGGAGCTGATGGGCTGATCTTGGGCTAAATTTAGTACACAATAGCCTTTGGGCCTTCTGAGAACCAAGTTGTCTTACCAAATCTGATATTACCATAATAGCCTTGCCTTTTTCGTGTCCTACAGTCTTGTCTGTCTGTTGCTGTGGTGACGTAACGACCTACTTTTTGTGGTAAGGCTAATGACTACACTTTTTAATTCTTACATAATAATAACATCAAGAATTGTGGTGGGAATATCATATGTAGCAGTTAAATAACAAAAAATATCGGGCGGTTATATGCTTCGTGCAAACACATGTTTTTTCAAACATGTATAATATAGAAAATTTGAAATAATCTATTTGATTAAAACATTGTATTATATAATATTATTATGTTTGGAAAATATTTACTATAAATATCGTAAATATGTGATTACTATGATATATACCAATTTACAAGTGAAAACAAAATGTTTATATAACTACTTATACACAGAAAACAAATATCTGCGCGGTTGCGCGGGTCAAAATCTAGTTAAAACATTAAAATAACAAGTATGTTTATCACTTGTTTAATTAAGCGCTATTAATTTAGTACCAAAAAGGGAACTATAAAGGAGAAAGGACGTGGGACGAATTTGAGTGGCAGAGAAAGAAGGTGTGGTAGCTTTTAGTTTTCTTGTACTCCGTATCATTCTTTTCTTTTAATTCATAATATATGTAGTGATTATTTTTTTGATTTTGTATAGATTTTTCACTATCTAATTGTATGAACAAAAATTTACAGTCAAAACTCCCAAGGCCCAGTGGTTACTAATCAATATGATCAAAGATTATCGTACTAATATATATTATTATCTTGGCCAAGAATCTCATCTTTCATTAAGTCAAGTGTATTTGTATATGTTAATTACTCTTTGTATGCACTAGTACTTTCTCATATTTACACCAGTATGACTGTGTCTAGCAAAATAATAACCCAACCGGCCAGGGCCAAAACCAATACAAATTAATGGAGTCGACTTGATCACCAAAATTTGCAAGTAATAATATAATCATCCACATTCCCACGCCATCTATAATCGTCATGAAAAACTCGTTTTCTATCATATTGATCTTTCCAAAACTCAAGCGATTGATTACCGCAATACCCTTTGCTTATTTTAGTTGTTACTCTTGTACGAAGCCCTAGTTCAGATATTTCATCGTTTTGGTGTGGTCACAAGTAATGACCTCCCCCTCTTCTTTTTTTTTTTTGAGTAAAGCAATGAGGAGTTGAGGACCTTTCTTTCTTGCTCATAAAAATATCATGAACTTGGAAAACTACATCATATGTACCGATAAACCCAAAATTTTCATGTGATTATGTGAGGTATGCTTTTTTTTTAAGGAAAAGAATTATGATGCTATTCGACAAGAAGTCAGTCACATGTTTATCACTTGTTTAAGCGGTATTGTTTTAGTGACAAAAAGAAAATTAATTAAAGAGAAAGGACGTCGAACGAATTTGAGTGGCATAGAAAGAAGGTGGCAGCTTTTAGTTTTATTTATATCATACTTTATTATAATTTGGTCCAAAAGAGGAAACAGGACATGCTAGAAAAATGCATTAACTTCTCCTGATGAATCTCAGCAATATATGTGGATCGATGTTCGTGACACTGCTTTGCTTGTGACTCAATTCATGTAGTTGTGAAAACAAGATTTACTCTTACTTTTTACACTTCACACGGTGAGACCACGAACAGCTTGATAATCTGAGTCGAGCTTATCCAGAGCAATATCACCATGCGAATTTCTAAAAGTCAAAATGTCCAGTAAATATTGTGGTGGTTCATGTTTCAACAAAACTCTTGATGACCACTCTACTAATTGTTTTATTCAACAAATATTTATGTTGGTATTTTAATATTTTCTATGAAGATGAAATGGATATATCGATTTGATGAGTTGATTTTTTTTTGTTAGGCTAATAACATTCGCAAGTAGTAAAAGAAACCATATACTACAGCCACATGGAAAATCGATAGCATATGGATATTTGAAGTCTTTGTTACATGTCTTTAATACGAACTTAATCTACAAACACACAGATCTTAAAACTAAAGAGAATTTGTGTTGGAGCATTTGAGGGAAACATGTGAGTTATCTTGATTTATTTTAATATAACTCAGATGATTTTTTTTTTGAGCAACATATGACTTCAGATGATTTACATACGATAACCAAGACTATCAATCTTCGGAACTTGTTTCTTGTGTCATAGGTACGACGACAATAACCAAAACGATCAATCTTCACAACATGTTTTCCATGTTTGATAAAAACTTAATCTGAGTAGACTATTCTGTAGCTTTAACGTAGGTTTTTAATATAAATCGCTCCATAGATAATACTAACTGTTTACAGTTTTCAATACAAGAAATCGTTATGATCAATAACAAAAAGAAACAATATTAAGATGATTGTTTTAACTATGTGGCATGTTTTTAAATAGGGACAGAATAGTATGATCAAATGCCGATCGATGGATAACAACAAAACACAAAACTCACTGCTAATTAACCAATCATTCAACTGAAAGATACAGAAAATTTATTTTAAACACTCACTAATTAACATCATCATATCCTTAACATACATAACTCCGCAGGTACGTTAACATTGCTTTTCACACCCATGGCAACATCTACGACATCCCTAATTGTATCTTACATTCATGCGTCTTATTATCATCTCAGATCCTAATTAACACTCTAACTATAACTCTCTCAACTTTTGGTTATATAAAACAAAAAACATTACTAACACATGACATCCTTAAGAAGCTTGTACCTGCGAGTGGCGGTTCGAGGAGAAGGTATGCCGCTTTTACCCTTGTCGGCTGCTGGAGTAACACTACTACTTGCAGCAATCTGGTTGATCTCTTGTTGTTTGATCTGGTGGGCTGAAGCATATTCCGACCGGTACGACCTCTTAGAAGATCCACCGTTAACACCGTGTTTTGCTCCTGTTCGATTCTTTGCTTCATACTGACACCAATCGCAGATCTTAATTGGATCACCTTGCTCTTTGTAATAGCTACTACAGTACCTGTATCACGATTATCATGATGACTACTTTTCGATAATAAATTTATGTATAGTATATATATGGTAGTTGTTGAAGCAGTTCTTGTCTGATTTGACAATATACACATCTATATGCATGCTTGTGATTTGATGTATGATGATCATCTGCCTAAATATGACATACATAGTGAACGAACGTGGCGCATAATCTCACCGTCCAGTACAATTAAAATATATTATATGTTTGTTAATATGCGTGATGATGATACTATACGCACATATGTTAATATGCACGGTATAGATACGAAAAAATATGTAAAAACATACGAGTGTTGAAAGCGATTCAGGCACTTGCTGCAATGAAAGAGCTTGTCGAAGAAACCCACATCACCACACATGCAACACACTTTTCTTTCAAGATCCACCATTCTTGTCTTCCTTAGCTAGCAGAAGATGGAGAATATATGAAGGAGAGGAGATGAGAGAATGAGAGAGAACAAAAGGTGAGAACTGATTCTATAAGGAAAATAGGGGAAAAAAGAAATATATATGGGTTAATTTAAACTTATTTTATTCGCAAGTCGGTCCATAAGTAATAATATTTTCTTTAGAAAACCAAGAAAGATATATTTAATTAGAAATATAATAGCGTAATAAGGCAGGTAGAGACCGCAGGTTGCTTTGCAGTCGTTTTCAGTTGAGCTTGGGAGGTGTAGAAACAAAGAACCTTAAATATAAAAATCGACTACGGCAATTATGTTTTTGCCCTTGTAACATTTTTTGCATTTATTCGTTGGAGCCTTTTCTTTGTCCTTTTTAGGGTTTTCACGAAGAAGGAAACTTGTGGGATGTCATTTCTTTGACTTTATCTCCGTATTTAGAGAGCGTGGCAGACACTCCCGTTTTGGTTAATTAAGCTTCACAAGATACAAAATCATACAAATCATATTATTATTTTACATAATAAAATAAATGTTGTACTTGTTGAACGAGAATCTGATATCATCGTGAAAATGAATTGCATGAAAAGTATATATAAACCCAGAGTATTGAAAAACATGTGAATATATAAAACTGATGGATTCAGTCTCCTAGATTGATAACTATTTGTATCAATACGTTTGATCACGTTTAAATCACACGGTAAGCTTGATAAAAAAAATTCGGTTTATTTAACATATGATATGGCATCAAATATAGTTGTGAAGATTAATAAGTAATTTGTTTCGTCAGAAAATATTGTGAAAGAAACTTAATGTTTTCATTTCATCTTCAAATGGATCTACCTTTATGAATCCATGTTTTCTATACTGTACGTACACATATGCATTCACAGGATAATAAATTTGAAGATAGACTAGTCAACTCGTTCAATTTCTCGTGCTTTGCATTAATATCTTAAATAAACTATATCGAATCCTAAGTCTTCAGATTGTTTTCTTTTAATATCAATATAAGTCTTTTTTTTTGTTGATCAATAGGGCTATATCGTGTTTGAGTTGCATCAAACCATTTTCAGAACACTCTTTTAATTAAATCTCCTTAAAAGTTAAATCTATAACGCGTGGGTGTATAAAGCTATGTTTATATATAATATTATCATCCACTAGTGAAACCCGTGTGCCATATAAGTTTTATAAATGCAACTAAAACCTACTTAGCTAGACGATGTTTATAAATGTGATTGTTTCAAAGTTTTTGGAGACTTCTGCAGATGATCAAACTGACATATACACACGACTTCTGTAGTTGATGAGTGGAGCCCATGTTTTTTTACTGTTCTTGGGAGTATATTTATATATGGAAATGTAATATTGATGGTAAAATGTATTCATATAAGAAAAATCAGCCAATTCGAGAATCATGTTGTAATAGTGCCAGTCAACTCTGACAACATTTTTTTCCCAATATGTTACGCAAGAAACCAAGAACACATCTAACGTGTTCGTACAAGAAGAAAATATCATAAACCGTGTTCGTACTTAGAAGAAAATATCATAAACCCTAGGCTATAGTTCAGATGTGGTTTATAGCTTATCTAGTTTATACATTATCAAGATATTTTATATTTATGCAAGGGTTGAACTAATACGATTTTAAGTTGAACATCATATTGAGTTTTAATTAAAAAAATAACACTCAATTGTGTACTTTTTCATTTTATCTTTCTGAAAATTTGAATTAATTTATTTCTATGTGCAGTGCTGTGTAAAAGAAATATATGTATAATTGACTACTTATCTCTTACATTATTTTGTTTGGTATTATAAATTTTATAGCTATATAATTTAGTCTCATCTTATTCCAAAACCAATAGATGAACGTTAGAAGAGAGTCTGGATTTTTAGGGGTTTTATGAATTTTGTGCTGATAAATATGCATGCAAACAAAACAAGGATCGATCGACCGTCTAAGAATTACATACAAAATTTATTCATTAATAATTTCGTATTCATTATATTCCAAAATATGAATGTTTGTACATTGTATAAACTGTCACGTATTTTTATTAATAGTTAACTGAACTTTATACAAGGTGGCATGTATTAATCAAATACAAAACAAAAACGATAGTAAATTTAAAGTGCATCCAAAACCATGTAATTGGAAGCGCAGAGATACTAGATCCGAGTGCTGTGATTTCTCTTATCCCTAACTTGAAAAGATTATGGACATTTCAGAATGTATAAGATAACAAAAGGAAGAAAAATCAAGATGGCCAGTGAAAAGATTAAAAATTCAATTGTATTATCTCTAAAACAATACTTGTGAGTTTGTTTTTTTTTTGTATCTTGTACCTTGGGTCAAGTATATTACACATATAAACATATTCATGGACAAGTTGATAGAGAGATACATTGAATAATTTTGAGAAAGGAGGGAATATTCATAACCCCTCTTAGAGGCTATGTATGTAAGAGGCCATATAGATAAAATTAGATATAGACATGAGGACATTGAGGAGGAAGACTTCTGTTCCATGCTTCGCTCTTATTACCTTTAAGGGGACCATTTATCTGAACACATTTTGTCCATTAATCTCAACCTTACGCGTGTCTCTGCGTTACACATGCATCGAAATATCTAAAAAGCCATATAGCGTTGTCTTAACGGCAAGTTCACTAGAAGTCACAGCGCGTGCCCCACTCTCCCAACCTCCGTGGCTCCAGATCGGAGATGGAGGATGGGTCCGGTGAAATAGTGGCGAGGCTAGTGACCGTCCACCCGATTCTGTGTGGGAACCACTTCCACCTGTTAACATCTCATCCATAAGGCACTGACACCACCAATTTCTGTATAAATATTCTAGAAACATTTTTCATCAAAATATAGATTTAGTTAACCTTAACCTAAACAAAGTGATTCGATTGATTACTTACCAGCAGCATCAATATTTAGTGGGTTGGTCACGAACGAATAAAGTCCATTGAGCAAAAGTTGTACTTCAAACTTTAAAAGCCAAAAAAAGAGAGAAAAAAAAGAAAACACTAATTGTCTTGCTGGATTCTATGTAATTTTCATTTTCTTGTATCTAAATATGTCAGTACTTTAAGATGTTTCATATTACATGTTCGAACATAATAGAAGAAGCCCTTTCTCAAAAAAAAAAAAAAAAAAACATTTTAGAAGAGAAAACATGTTTTAGCAAGTCAAATCGAAGAGGTTAACGTTTCTATACGGTTTTGAATTTTAAGTCTAAGAAAAAGAAACTATAGCAGATTAAGGAAAAAATGCTTGCAAAAAGTATTCAGCGTCGTGAATTACTTTTTTGAAAGAATGTTAAAATTAATTCAACCAAAAAAACGTGGATTTTCATAGTACGATTAATGTATTGTAGTCATTCGTGAATACTAAAATAAATATAATTATTGGTGATAAAATCGTACATAAATAGTTTTCATAGTTTGGTATCATAATTAATCAACTTCAAAAACAAGTAAAATTGGTTAATCAAGACAAAGGAAACCATTGTTCTGTAAAATATTAGATTGGATAATACATTGGGTCATGCTACTTCATCCCTAATGAATCTAATTTAAAAAAATGGGTCCTAGATCTAGACATTACGGCCCAAGTCAGTTCATTAACTCAGGATTGTGGCTTTTTAAAACTGCCATGGTGCCTCAATCAGGGCAAGATCGCAGAACTCGAACGCACCGCTACATTCCTAATTGCTCTATACGACGGTCGTAAGTGTTTTCTGTCTAATGTCCGACACATTTTCTAAACCAAACATTTACCTCACGTGGTCGTTGTCGCATTCTATGGTGACTAGACCCCACGGCCCATGATTATACACTCGCAATACAAATACAAAAGCACAAAAGCCCACTCTACATCATCTTCTCGCTAGCAAATCTTCCAAACCTGTTGAGTTGACGTAAAGGAAACAAAAAGCTTGCGTGGCTAACTCATCGACATGTACTTGTGTGTACTTCGTTTGGGACATGACTGCGGCATGAATGCCACAAACTAGATGAAATGTTTTGTTCTTATTTGATTAGTTTTAGATCAGTAGTAATCATCTCTCTTTTTATTAGTGTGTTTGTTAAAGGATTTAGGATATCAACGAACTAGGCTAGTGAAGTTATTCAAATTATGTCCATAAATAATTACCGGAGACTGGTTCATTTTATCCATCACAATATCACAAGTTAAACTTTAGTTCAATATGGTTAAATAAGCACTGTGTTACTGTTTTATAGTTATTTAACTATGACCATTTGCTCCATTATTGATTAGCTTATTGATCGGATTCGGCCCGTATCACAAGCTAATGCCTTCTTTATTTTTTATTTTTTGTTTAAAACCACTAGCTACTATTATCGTCTTTAAAAATTCTGCAACAAAACATGAATATCCTCCATACACAACTCAACAATTTATTCGTATTATAAAAGAAAAAGGGGGACAAGAAGGACAGTGGATGAGCATAAGGTCATCATATTTGCATGTTAATCGTCAGAAGGGTAAACATTATCTCAACTAAACTAATACTTATTTACTTAAGAGGTGATTAAGTGATGAATAAAGTACATACTCTAACGAGCTAACAACAAATAAAATAACATTTGCTTGTCATTATGGGCACATGAGGTCGCACGTGTATGCTTTGGGATCACCGCCTCACGTGATTCAAGGAAGCTAAATGAACCAAAAAACAAGGAATTGTTGAAGTTAAGCACGACGATAATATTCGTATGTATCATGTAAACGAATAATCAGAGGTCCTTGTTTTCACAGAAAGGGAACAAAAGGCAAAAGTAAAACCACTACGAAAGCCTCTAACTATAAAGAGAGCTTCGGGAGAAGATGAGATGAGTGCACCGTACGTCGATGTACTGAACTGAACCATGACATGCATGGCCCACTAAGCACCGTCACATTCTCTCGACTCTCGTTTTCCTCGCTGAATCACATAATCTAATTTAAATATTTCTTTATTTATTGCAAATATTTTGTATTCTATTTAATTACTTTTTACAAATACAAATTACTTCTAATATAAAGTGATTTTGTAATAAAAGTATTGATAAACTTCAAACTAATATCTATCAATCTACACGTTCTTTTTCTTTGAAAAAAGAATTTTATTATATAAATTTATAGTTCTGTCTGGTTTCAAAGTTTCAAAGTATTAAAAAAGGTTGCAAGCTTATCAGCCGCTGGATACGTATATGCTATATGCAATTAAATTAGGGAACTCAATTCAAACCTTCTTTTTAGAATTTAAACTTCGAATCCACGGCAACAAAATAACATAATATATTCGTGTTAATATCTCATCGTTTCATCAAAGTTTTTTTTTTAAAAACTCCTCATCGTTTCAACTAGGTAACCGGATAATGTTGAACACAAATTACGTTTTTTTTTTGTAACACTATACAAATTTCCCTATGTAACTTTTGCCTACTTGCGATTTAAAAGTTTTACAGCGAAGAAAATATTATATTGTATAGGGGTCTATGAAAGGAACCTTCTGAATGCGACAGAAGTTGCCAGTGGGATAAACTGTTGTCGGTAGTAAAACAAAAATTATAGAAGTTTTTTTTTTTGCTAAATATAATTATAGAAGTTGAACAAAAGCTACTTATCTCAGTTGGCTCCTCCTCTCATTTCGTGCCATATTTGTTTTTTTATAAGTGAATGTGTAAAGTGAAACACCTTACTACCATATTGCGATCTCCTTACTATAGTACTCTACTGAATAACATATTGTATACGATATATGTTGCAACCTACAGAAACCTACAATTCTCACTTCCAATATTTTTTTGTCCTCACTTCCAATACTTTCTGTTTAGTAACAGAATGTTCGTAATTTTCATAGTCGACTGATACAGTGATACGAAAGCCTAATAGCAATTGAAATCTTTTGAAGAAGAAAAAATAGTCTGAAGTATCCGCCACACTTTTTGGGTTTTTACCTTCTTCATTCATGGCTTCGTCTTTTTTTTCATGAACTTTTATCTTAGGGGCACGTGAAGGTGAGAACGGTCCTCACATGGAGCCACGTGGTCTTGCTGATTTTTATTTTTTTCACAGGTATCTCTTTTTGTGTCACTAATAAAATATATTTTTAGCTTCAGAACTTCTATATGGATAGGCCAATAATTAAAATTGTCGGCTCGTATCAAAATCACTAATTTATCTGCCGAGCAACTCTACTTTTCCACCTACTCCTTCAAGGCTTCAACACATAGAAATACTATAGGTTAACAGCGGACTATAGTCCAGTCTGGTTGGACGGATATTATAAAAAACGTATCATTGAATATATCTATCACTTACTATACACAAAACTATTTTCATTCTTGTTCAGTTAAAAATTTTAATCTATAGCTATCAAGAAAATTATTTTCAAACTATCAATACAAAGAGGTATATTATGGTATGCCGTTACTAAAAACAAGCGAATTGAACTGAACAAACGAAAAACCAATAATTAAATTGCATTTGCAAATACACAGCTACAATTAACTTCTAGAGAGTTTTATTTTGCCATTTTGAATGGCAGAACTTTTTTTATGCTCATATGTAATTATTTGATCAATAGGAAGAAAGTTGATAAAAACAGTTCAACACGTTGTGGTACGCTTCTGCTGATGTTCAATCAATTTACATACGATTTGTCATATGTAAGTACAGATCCAACCACAGTACAAAAAACAGTCAATGTTCAAAGCCTTATAAATCATATATATTCTTTAAACTTATCCGTATAGAAGGATATAAATATGCCTTAACGTCAAATTTTCGGAAAAGGAAAGAATTCAACAAATTAAAGATCATTTCAGCACCCGGCTTAATTATACTGGTCTCACCAAGGATCATAATACCTAATCGAAATCGTTGAATGTATAAGTATATTGCACTATCTTATTCACGTGCAGTTATATATAAGTCTAAAATGGAAAGAAAAAAGATCAAAAGACGAGATCATAGTTTTAGTTTCTTGTCGATAAGGCTGAAGTTCGCACCATGTCACTAAAAGTCGAAGCCCGTGAACTGCATCTTTGGAGTGTGATTCAAAGATACGTTCTTCTTTAAATATATGTCCCGGTTGCATATACACGTATTGTGTATCCTAAAATCTAATTCAATTATTTTTCTTGAAATATATATACCCGAAAGTGATATAATCATTGGCGGTGGTAGATGGAAATTGAGCACAAGATAGAGATGCATATATGTATAGTTTAGTTTTGGTCGAATATGATAACAATGTTCACCACAACTGGTTCCCTATTTTTATATCAGGCATGTGTCATGTACATACGAGTAATTATAATTTAAAATAAGAAAATAATAAATATAGAAGCAAGGAGCAATGCATGAAAGAGACATAAGAAGAAGATAAATGATAGAAAAAAATATGCACCAAAGAGAGGGCCATAAGAATTTATAGAACCAAAGTGCAATGCACTTCGGACCGTCGGTCGATTCATCTCCTTGATTGTCTCCATCTATTTTCCCATTTCCCACTACATTAATTCGTACTTTTTAAAATACTATAAAAATTAATCGCTAGTAGAGCAAGAAATATTATCAAAGCTGTTTCATAGAATAGTGTAAAAACATGCTAGTTCAATAAAGCGAATAATGTGTTAAAAACATTTTGTGTATGCCCTACTCTACAAGGATCGAAATCACACGCCCATCTCTGTTGAGTTGTTTTTATCACAAAATGTGAAAATATAACTGTAAGCATATAGTCGACCCTAGTCATCACTCGGCCGGGATGTTGGGCGATAGTTCTCCTTGGCACATTTTAGTACAATTTAACATTGGCCCCAATTAACATTATATATTTTCTTTTAATAAAGACACATTTTAATACAAAATTTTGTTTAAATTAATAATCTAAGAGACGAGTTTAGGTCTCGGATTTTAAGTGATTTTTTAAATAAAAAATTTGACAATTAAAAAAATTTTGGTTTAAAAATCAATTTTCCTAAAATGTAGAAAACTAGACACGTCTTGTATTTTCTTATTTTATTTGAGAAAGTAAAAACCTGCAAAAAAATCAACAAAACACTAAACAAAAGTCTACATTCACACAAAGCCTCAGAAATTCCTTGTATTGGTAGTTTTTTTACTGAACAGGGCAAAGAACACAAACGATAAAATGAAAAAATGTTAGAAATATCATAAATTAAATATTAGTTTTAAAAATATCATTAACAAAAAGTATATTAATATTTGGTTTTAAGTTTTAGTAGTAATTATTGTTTAGAGTTTAGTATTAAAGGATTGGAGTTAAGTTTATAAATATTCTATAAATATTATAAACAAAAACTTAATGTTATTTTATCATAAATTTAGGATATTTATGAAAATAATACATCATTAATGGTAAATTTTTAAAATAATATCAAACTGTCGTTAAAAAAAATGTTAAACCTCTGGTAGAATTGAAATTTACTCCAAAATTTGATTTAGAGATTCCTAAGCTAAACGAACTACATTTATATAGTTTTCACTTTCTTAATTTCTTAAACTCACACTATAAGTACTGTCACTATGCATTGGAGATATGTAAAACATAGTTGTTGTGTTATCTACTCAATGAAAACAAATCTATCGCTTTTAGCGACGTAGATAGATATGGCTCTCCTTCAATCAAACGGGATTTCCTATATTTTGTAAAACTTATATTTCGATTGTAATTCTTATAAATATACACTAATTTAGTTTAATCAACTAATCCCCGCAAGTAAATATACTTTGTAATTAGCACATGCATGCTCAAAGAAAATGTTGACAGAATTAAATTTAAAGTCGATAAAAAAATAAAAATAAAGGGAAAGGGTCAGGTCAGTCTCGGTGCATGTTAACTCAATGCACGTTATTAAACTCTCTCACTCTATATTAAAAGCCCATGAAGCCAGTGACTACCACTTACTGAGTGAGCAAGTCCGAGTCTGAGTCAAACCCCCCCCCCCCGAGTCAAGTAAACAATGGACCTCTACGGCTTATCTTCACCCGACTTGCTTCGTATCGACGACCTCCTCGACTTCTCCAACGACGAAATCTTCTCCTCTTCCTCCTCCACCGTCGCTTCCTCCGCCGCTTCTTCGTCGGAAAACCCTTTTAACTTCCACACTTCTCCTCCCCCTCCTCCTCTCGTCTCCGACTTCACCCACGATCTCTGCGTCCCCGTACGTTTACAAAAATAATTCAATTCCGATTCTCAATTTCTAGGTTTTCGTTTTTTTTTCCGGTTTACTCTGGTTTATTCCGATTAATTCCGGTTTACTTACTGATGGAGTCGGTTATGTGTTGTTCTTCGTGCCGAACTTCAATTCCAATTCTCAATTTCTAGGTTTTCGAGTTTTCATTTTCGGTTTACTCCGGTTTATTCCGATTTATTCCGGTTTATTTACTGATGGAGTCGGTTATGTGTTTTTCTTCGTGCCGAACTTCATTTCCGATTCTCAATTTCTAGGTTTTCGAGTTTTGATTTTGATGTTTAGTTTACTCCGGTTTTTTCCGTTATTATTCCGGTTTACTCCGGCACGATTTTTTGATAGACTCGGTTATGTGTTGTTCTTCGTGCCGAACTTCAGTTCCGATTCTCAATTTCTAGGTTTTTCGAGTTTTTGATTTTGATTTTTGGTTTAGTCCGGTTTATTCCGGTTTACTCTGGCACGGTTTACTGATAGACTCGGTTATGTGTTGTTTCTTCGTGCCGAACTTCAATTTCGATTCTCAATTTCTAGCTTTCCGAGTTGTTCTTCGTATTGGAGTTCGGTTTACTCCGGTTTACTTGGTTATGTGTTGGTTTAATTAAATTTTTTTAATTTTTTTTTGCAGAATGACGACGCAGCTCACCTCGAGTGGCTATCACGCTTCGTCGACGACTCCTTCTCCGATTACCCGGCCAATCCCCTAACCATGACCGTCCGTCCCGACGCTTCCTTCACCGGAAAACCACGTAGCCGCCGATCAAGAGCCCCGTCGTCACCCTCCCTCGCCGGAACCTGGTCTCCGATGCCGGAATCCGAGCTCTGCTACTCCGTCGCGAAGCGTAACCCTAGCAAGAGACTCGAACTCGATTCCACGGCGGCGGACGGCGGCGGAGCGAGGAGGTGCACGCACTGCGCGTCGGAGAAGACGCCGCAGTGGAGGACGGGACCGCTCGGGCCGAAAACGCTCTGCAACGCCTGCGGTGTCCGGTTCAAATCGGGGAGGCTAGTGCCGGAGTATCGGCCGGCGTCGAGTCCGACGTTTGTGCTGACTCAGCACTCGAACTCTCACCGGAAAGTTATGGAGCTAAGGCGGCAGAAGGAGCAGATGGAATCGCGTTTCCAGACGCAATAATAACGGCTCGCGAGCGTTTTGCGTTTAGGGTTGCGTCTTGGTCGTTACGGTTTCTTTTTGGAGGGTTTTTGGGGGTTTGGTGACGTGTCGTAATTGTGACGGCTTATGGTCACGTGACCGATGGAGGAGGTTTAAGGTCTAAAATGTCATTTATTAGTTTGAATCAGAGAACTCTGCTAATCACGTCATTAATTTTTGTTAGTAGTATTCATTTGAATTTTTTTTTTTTTTTCAACTGGTTTCTTTTCGTTTCTACTTAAAAAGTTATATGCATTAAATGATGATTTTATTGGCTGCATTTAATCTTCTCCCTTTCAGTTATAAAAGCCACTCAACTACCACAATTGACTTTGGTATATGTGACTTACCATATAAATTAAATCACAAGTCATGCTTGCATGATCTTCATGGATACTCACATACATGCTTAACAAGTTGATTGTTTTCTTAAATAAATTTATCATAGTCGAAATGAAACTCGGTTGCTCTTGTTTAGGGTATAAATTCTGACTTTAATTATCTGTATTATCTCTTATACTATCCGTGTGAGATTCCATATGAAGTATAGTACTCAGTTAGGCTTTTGTTCAAAACCAGTTATTCAAAGGCACCAAAACTACGTGAAAGTGCCTAAACCTCTTAGAAAATAAACTAAATGGGTCAAATCCAAAACAAAGAAGCAAATGGATCAAATTAATTGGTATCCAGCTTAAACCGCAGAAATACTAAACCAAAACCAAGAAACATACATGAAGAGGAAATTGTATAAGGAAATACAAAGCTTAAAATGTCAAGAAACTATTACTCAAAGTTAAGCAACAAAACTAAAAAACATGAATATGAAATGACTATACTGATAAAATCTAAACATTATGAAAAAAAGAGGTAATGGCATTGCTTTTGCTTGCTATGTTTCTTTTGTTCATTTTCTCCTGACAAAGTAAAGCTTGCCATGACATGGAGAATAGCAACGAAAGAACTGAAGCATTGATCCGGCTACTCCTCCTGAAGCTCCACCACCAGCGCTGCCACTTTTCCTCCTTCACATGCTTGCAGTTGCAGCTGCTATTTTTGCTTTGTTGTTTTCTTATGTTGAAGAATAGAGAAAACAAAAAAAAGATTGGATGGTAAGAAGGAATGAAGTAGAAGAAGCCTCCTCAGCAAATCTTAATTTACCCATCAAAGATCAATCCATATTGGGATTCAACTACGAAATGATCATATAACTCTTGGTAATTTGATACATACCAAGATTCATTAAAAAAAATACCTCTCAAGCATCTGAACTGGATATATAGAAGAATCGGAGCAAAACATTTCCAATATTCTGACAAAGCAATAAACCGATGGTATTCAGACAAATACATTAAAGACATTACACAAGATTAATGAATCATATTCATCGTGGAGATTAATTCACAGAAACGGATAATTATGACTGGGCTTAGCCTGTTCTGAGACTCGTTCACGTAGATAGCCTGTTTCCATTCAACGTAAGATATCCAATAGGTAATTGACACGTCGAAGATATATCATTTTACCCTTGATAGCGCAGTGTGCACGTCTATGTCTTTAGTTCTAGAATTCAAACTATTGATAATTACATTGTACTTCTATATACACGACGAAGAAGCTTAGTTGGATGAAAAATTGTACTATAGCCCACATCTTCTTGATAAGAAGAAACAATTTGTTATAAAAACCTGCTTACGCTTGAGAGCAAGCCCATGTTATTCATTTCCATTTACTGGGCCAGGACTATTGACTAGTGCCTATCTCTTAGGACCATACCATTTACAATATGATACCTTTTTTTTTTTTTTTTTGGTAAAATGTTAGTTACAATATGAACAACAAAAGAGAAGAAATTGGAGACTCAGCTACAATATGATGCTTGTTGAAATCTTGAACAACAAAAGAGAAGAAATTGGAGACTCAGCTATGATTATTAGAAAACAAGGATGAAAATCTGTGACTATCATTTCTATTAACTCTCTGATTCTCATGGCTACAACTAAATAAGAAATTTTATTTTTACTTAATGGTCAAGTGTAGTTGCGATTGGGAAAAAGTCAATTGTTTAATCGAAATTAATCATACCAGTTTTTTTTTGGTGTAAAAAAAATGTTGCAATACCTTAAAAAATGTTGCAATACCACTTAACTCATTTCTATTAACAACACTGATTTAGCCAGTTTGGAAAAGCTAAAAAATAAATGTTTGCAATATAAAAAATGTCTAATGTTGTGATGGTTACTATTTTTACAACTACAGAATATTTATGTAATCCGTTTCTAGTTAAACACCCGGAATTTAACAAGAGACATTCAAATAAACACCATAGTTACATTTCTGATTATGAATATACTTCCAAGTTAGAAAATTCAAAATTCATACAAACAGAACTAGAATGCTTAACATATATTATAAAGATGTGATCATTAATACTTTAATGGTAGGTCATATATACTTATGTGAGGTCGTAGTTAATTAGAGGCAAAAATATCCGCCGACGGCGACATGGCTCCACAACAAAAACTTTTATTTTATACTATCAATCGTCCAAACAAAAAGTTTGTTTCTTCACACGGATTTTATTACAAGGAACTCCTAGTGAATACTGAATGCATATTCCTATACGGTCATGAAATGAAAGAGAGGTGAATCATGAAATGAGCTTCGCGGGACGTAAGTACAATTGTACAAGTAAATATATTTTCGTCAAAAAAAAAAAAATTGTACAAGTAAGTACTCCTACCATAGATTACGAATTATCAGATCGAGACACATACATATATATAGTCTCTGTTCGAAACTACGTTAGGCGCTAGTCGGGCGGCGAAGCCGGGCCTAACGAGTTATCAAAAACTCGGAGATTAAGCGGGGATTAAGCGGGGATTAAGCGGGGATTAATCGGGTATAAATATTAACTTTGTTTAGATATTACAAAGTTGCGCAACAGTTCAGTTGGTAAGTGCCTTAGTTGTCTTACTGTCACAACTCGGGTTTGACTCAACCCTACGTTTAGTTTTTTTTTTTTCGTTTTAAAGAGGGTAAAATCGTATTTTTCAAATCATCTTCCTCTTAACCTAAAACCTGCAACATCGGCGCTTCCATTTTTTCAAAGCTTTTTTCACTCAATTACACACATTTTTATCCTTTTATTACTTAAACCTATCAAAGTTTTACAGATCCAACCAAAACACAAAGGTTTTTAACACAAAACGAAACCAAAACGGATTTTTTTTTAAAAAATCCGATTTTTTCACCGATTAGGGTCGTTTTCCACGGTGGTTGGCCGCAAAGCGTTTACTCGCCGGCTAGGCGGCCGCCTAGTCCGCGTTTTCGAACACTGTATATAGTACTATGACTGAGATACACGATATATAAATAAGAGTGTGAGATATTGTAAATGATCGACGAATCAAGATAAAATAAGTACTGCATATCTGATCATTAGCCATTAGTTATACACTTATACTATTATAATTTAACAAATTTACAAGTGGGATTTATTCGGTTTTAACATCCGCATAGCTTTGCTCCAAAAACAAAATCATCCACATATATAGGTTGTCGTTTACAGTTTAGTTAGATGTGCTACCATGTGTTCCAAGCAAATGAGCAGGAAATACCGTCTCCTCTTGGGGATGAAATAGGTGAAGACCAGGCCTTAAGCTTGTGGGTGGGTTTTGAATGATGCTTCTGAAAATAGTCAGTTACTGGGGGTGCGTAATTTTGATCGAGTGGAATCGGCGTTGTATTCAGAGTTGGAAGCACTGCGGTGGGTAATGGAGAACATGCTTCAACATTCGTCATATCAGAGCTTTGGAACTGATTGTAAGGAGATGATCGAAATGCTCAGAAATCCTCAGGCATGACCTAGCTTCTCAACAGAGGTGGAAAAATTGATGACGCTGAAGATCTGTTTTCCAGACTTCAAGATCTCTTATGTTCCTAGACTTCAAAATGGCGCTTCTGATTCTTTAGCTAAGTTAGCTAGGTCCTTTTATCGTAAGCTTGTGTATGTTGGTTGTTCTGTTCCGGTCTGGTTACCCAGACCACCTCAAGTCGTTTGAGTAATAGAACAACCGTTTGATGTCAAAAAAAAAAAAAAAGATGTGCTACCATGTAAATATAACATAATAACAGAAACATAATCACATATATATATATACATATATATATATATATCGATCATCCTGCATGTTACTTTAAGGATTTCACTATTTCTTTCACCATTTTTCAGTGTAGTTACATTGTTTCTAGTGCTGAATTGATATTTACATATATATTTCACTGTGGTGAGTCTGGTGGCATTCAAAGTCCAACGAGAAAGGTAGAATCCAACGACTGAAGTGAAGATATTAAGTTTAAATAATAAAACATTTTTATATGCATATGAATACGACGAACATAAACAATACGCTCCAACAAACTCAGTGTTTATAGTTTGTTGAAAAGTAGAAAGAACATAACTTCTTGTCATTCTAATAAATATAGTGTAGGGATATGTAGACATAGATGTCAACATTTAATACAAAACAATGACGTACAAGTAACTATATAATTTGCATGGAATCTGAATTGGACGGTGCAATTGATGTTTTTGTTTTTGTTTTTAAAATCTAACTATAAATTCTGCTTTCCATAACGTTTGGTTTGTTTGTTTGCATTCAGCAATTCATTCTATAATCCATTATATATATTTTTTCTTAGATGTTATATGAATAAACCACTTTTGAAGCCTTTTCTCCAAAAATATATGAATAAACCACTTTTGTATATTAAATTTATAGATGGGTTAGTTCGTACGGTAGTGGTAGACTGGTAGCTTTTTCGACCATTTATTTTTATCCATAACGAGTAGATTGTATTCTAGCCATTTAATTATCCACACAAGAAGAAAAGAATGACGTATATGGTTTCTACATCACTACATAAACTAGATATTCCCATAGTCATAAAGACGACAATACTTGAAATGCTGAGAATTTGGTATGCTTTTGAAGGCAATATGTGCTATGGCACATGCAATGTATTCGTGATATATATTTGTAACTATATACCTATTTAGACGGTGGAATTCTACAAAATTATGACCACTTTATTATAAGACTGATGTTGACTCGCATCTTTGTTGTTTTGATCAAAATATGTGATTCATTGTAAATAGTTAACTATTTACCTAGAAACTCAAATTTTAAGTTTTATTTTTACTATTTTATATTGCTTTGGTATGTGACCATAACCTTAGAATTTCAGTATGATAAGTATATAATCCAGACTCTTGACAATCTGAACCGATGAAACATACTAATTTAACTTCTAACTATATCAAAGAAAAATGGAGTATGAATATGAATCGATTTCTATTAAAGCTATTTTATGATCTAAACTACTTTATCAAAGTGCATGACCAAAAAAATCATATTTACGTGACTATCTTGCAATTTCAATATAACATCTTTTTATAAAAAAATAAAAAAAAAGATTCGTAAAGTTGTACCAAATTTCACTTGTATTAGAGACGAAGTATTCTTTGAAAATAAAATAATTATATAAAAAAAAAAAAAACTAAATGACTGCAAGTCTACAGCCAAATCGAAGGAAGATCTCTATATATATTAACATAAGATGGTGAGTTCTTCTTTTTTTTTTTTTTTTTTTTTTTTGAGTTCTTCTCGCATTGGAGAAATTTGCGTTGCCCTTGCACACAGTGGAGCAACCACACGTGCACTTGCGCGTCGCCTTCTCGTCGAGGTGACACACACGAGTGATAGACGACAATACACATGTCATCAGGTAGGGTTTAAAATTAGTGGGTCTTGTCTTGTAGCTAGAACCTCTCGATGCTTCAGAGACTTTCAACCATGTTGAGTTGCTGACTTCAATTTACATTCACCAAACTGTCGGCGGAGATTCATTGTTTGATGTAGTTCTATGGATTTGTTTATTCGAAGTACTTTGGACTTGGGTATTGTAACCTTTTTGAATATATTTAAATAACGATTTAACTGCATTATTAAAGAAAATGCTTCGCTGTTATATCTGTACGTTGGCTTACAAAAGGGAGACACACAAATCTTCTTAACTATATAAAATTTTCATTCAAAGTTTTATTTACAAAGATTTTGCTTGTTTTAGTAGCTTCTTTACACCTTCCAGATGACTCCAAAAATCGATGTCGTTCCCCTACAATTCCTTTTGAAATTTTCTTGCTGATGTAAATATATTTTAATATCTGTTTGGTCTATTATTATTTCCGTGTTTTGGAGATTTGCACTTGTTTCTTAGTATATTTTGTGATAGTGCATCAATTTCAAACAAAGTAAAAACTGTAAAATTCAGTTCATCAGTATAAAATATTTTATTTCCCTAAGCGACGACGATTATGAGTAGGTGATATGATTGATAAAAATTAATTTGATTAAAGATACGAAAAGAGGCATCTAATCTCTTATGATTTCTTCTGAATCATTACATTCATTTAGAACTTTTTTCTTTTTTGAAAAAGGGTTTACATTCATTTAGTATTTAATAAATCACAATAGTTGACAAAAAAAAAATCACAATAATATAATGGATATATGCACATAATTAAATCCAATTTCCTTCAACAAAATCGTTTTCTCATAACTTTTAAAAATTTACACATAAATTTGTTACATTCAACCTGGATTACAAAGATTCGAACCTTAAATATTTATACACATAAACACACAATATACGGTTCAAACACTGGTCTTTGACCTACCGTACATTTCCAAACTATATATTATAAATGTTAACTATAGTAATCTATATTATTATACGATTTAACACACACGAAGGTAGTAACATTTAAAACAAAATAAAAGAAAAGAAGAGGAAAGTACCTGGTTGGTTGGTTACTTTCAAGTTAGGCTTATATATAAACCTCAATAAAACCTCTTCATCTCACTTCAACTTAGATTATTACATCACTTCAAAAAGAAAGCATCTCTTCCTCGTCGATAGAACTTTGCTAACTTTCCGACAAAACTAAAACAAGAGTTCAATGGCTGTTTCTAATGCTCTAACAATATCTCCAAGAACACTCCGGTCTGATCTTTACTCTTACTCGAACCAAGACAACACCAAGACACCTCTGGTTATCTCTGTTCTAGCTTCACTTATCGACCGAACTCTAACTCGGAACCAGAGAATAAGTCGTAGAGCGTCACCGGCGTCGTCTCCTTCAGGGAGGAGTAGCAAAACCCAGATCTTTGATTGCCGTGAAATTCCCGATATGACCATCCAATCGTACCTAGAGAGAATTTTCCGGTACACTAAAGCCGGTCCATCGGTTTACGTGGTGGCTTACGTCTACATTGACCGGTTCTGTCAACTCAATCCTGGTTTTAGAATCAGTCTCGCAAATGTACATCGCCTACTCATCACCACCATCATGATTGCTTCTAAATATGTTGAAGATTTGTAAGTCTCAAATAAAATACCTTCAAATTTTTTTCCATGATTTTTTTTGTTAATTATTAGTCATTTTACTGATTTTTTTTATATTTTAATGTTTCTCAGGAATTACAGAAATTCATATTTCGCAAAAGTGGGTGGATTAGAGACAGACGATTTGAACAAATTAGAGTTGGAGTTTCTGTTCTTGATGGGGTTTAAGCTACATGTTAACGTGAGTGTGTTTGAGAGTTATTGTTGTCATCTTGAAAGAGAGGTTAGCTTTGGAGGAGGTTATCAGATTGAGAAGGCATTGCGTTGTGCTGAAGAAATCAAATCAAGACAAATGATCGTTCAAGATCCTAAACATGATCATCAGTTTGCTCGAGTCTTGTTGTAGAAAAACAACTCTTATTTTTTTTAGTTCTAGTTTTGTCGTTTTGTGCTTGTCTTCTTGACTTTTATGTTGGTTAGTGTTGGTGTAAATGTAAATATAGTTGAGTAGAGATGAGCAGTGAAGTAAGTACGAGCATTGTATATTTGTATATAGATTCACTATCTATTGATTTTGAGAAACTTGTTTCATTTGCATTCACTAACCAAGAGAATTTGCATGAAAATTTGTAAATGAAACAAACATTTTAAAATAAGAACATAGGTAAATCCACATATATTTACCAGCATATTCTCAACTTGTAAAAAACACTGATTAAAATATACCCCTTTTGGAAAAAAAAAAATTAAAATACATCCAAGTTGCTCATTTTCCCATATAAACTATATGAATGCTAAAGTTAGGATTTGCGAACTGATTTGATGTCTAATTATTTGATTAAACGGTAGGTTACAAAGATAACATTATTGTCGATAGTTTTAAAGTTATTTGATAAGAATATCTTATTATATTCTACATTCCCATTATATATGTGCAACAACCTTTTTATTATATGATATAATAGTTTCAGATTAATTGAATCTTTCTCATTTTTGGATGTAGGAAACCGATCATGTTTGTTTCTCACATAGTCTTGGACTTTAAAGTGCTAAAAGAAATTCATCGTTAACATTTTTTTAGCGTAGAAACTTACAAAAAAAACTCAAAAGTTATTATTGTATTTTTCTCATTATTATGCAAAATTCATAACATTTTTATTGTAGCAACTCATGCGAACAATAGTAAAAGGGCTTTCCATTTAAACTAATTAGCGGTAATGATGCATGCCATTTGTATAAGAATACAAAGTATGTTCTATATTTTTTTATTGATGGTGTTGTGTGGTTCACGAGCATCTACCTAACCAGAGGCATGTATTTGACTTAATCCTTTGCACCATATATTTAAAGGGAATAAGATTAGGATTATGATCTTGATATGATGTCTAATAATTGCCTCGCCGAAGGTATACACACAAATAATTGCCTCGATTCTTTATATATTTGTAACTAGGTGATTTTCCCGTGCTCATGCACGGATATAATTATTTTTAAATTAAATATATAATAATAATTGATTATTATTTACTTTTAATTTTAAATTAATTTATAACTTGTATGCATCATTTATATTAATAGTATTATATTACTTTACTTATACTGTAATTTTATATATGTTATATCTAGTCAATTTTGTTGTTTTACGGTTGGTTTAGTTACCATTTGGATAAATTGGATTGCATCTCTGAATTTAACTGTAATATTTTTAAAATATATTAATTTTTAATTAGTTACTTATTTGCATATGGTGGGTGTTGTCTCAGATATGTAAATATATTTTAGGAAAATTATGTATAACTTAAGATATATTGTGCTTAGAATGAATTAAAAATTAACTAAAGTGTCTGATTA